ACATTTCAATTCGATATCTCGATACTCAAGTATCGATACTTTTCACAATATCGCTCATTGCTATTCTCAACATTTGCGATGAAAATTTGCTGGTTTGAAAAAGAGAATAACCTTCGAATAATTAAAGATTTTGTTCAATATTGGACTCAAATTGCTAGCAATTATTCCGTCCCATGAAGAAGAAGAAGAAGAAGAAAAAGAAGAAGAAGGAGAATAAAAAGATGAAGAAATTCAGGGTGTCTACTACTTGAAAAATACCTGGAAAACCGGGAATCGTCAGGGAATTTTATTTTTCTTGAAAAAAGCTGGAAATCTCATAAAATATAATTATTACCCAGAGAGTTTTCAAGTTCTCTTACTAAGGATTTTTTTCAAAGAATGTAGTACATTCTTTTATTCAAACATTTAATTTTCTTCGTTATTTTATTTCACTCATTGAACTTTATTTATCCTGAGTGGATTTATTTTCAGTAACAAAATCAATTTTAAATATTCAGAGGCTCCAGTTTTTTCTTCAGGATCTAAAATATTTTTTTTACTATTCTGAGCTTAAGGGGAAGTTCACCACCCCGAGAATATTTTTTCCAACGTGTTTTTATTTATTGAGAAACATTATCAAAAATCGAAGAAGATCAGTTTTTTCCTTAGATTCCTGGGAAAATTTACATGTACAAATATTTTTTTTATCTCAACCTAAAAAAATGGACCCTAAGAAAAACTGAAAAGTCGATGTTTTGTGGTTTTTTGAGTCCAACTTTTTGCCATGATGACTTATAAAAAATAATTTTACTCGTGAATTTTAAGAAATTAGAAAAAATGAGCTTGTTTTAGATTTTTGATATCTTTTTCCAATATTTAGAGAAAAATCAAAACGTAATTATTTTTTACGGAGTGGTGAACTTCCCCTTAACAATAATTATGTTTGGAGAGAATTTCAAGAACGAAAACTTTCAAGATTAAGGACCTTGCAGAATTTTCAGATTGCGTGATAATTTCTAAGGGACTCATTCCAAGGGAGTAGAGGGGAGGAACTATGCGGAAAATATTAAGTACAATCTGCTATTAAGGTAGTCTTGAGGAACTCCAGGTTCTATGTGAAACCCGAATACTAAGGCAGTGCTGAGTAGAATTCCATGTAAACCCTGAATAGGATTCGAAAGAAATTTTAATGAAAATTCATACGAATTTCGGAAATTTGTTACTAATGAATTCTGAAGAGGACTCCAAGGTAATTCAAAAAAGAATTGCAAAGAAATTATGGAATTTTTGGAGAACACTTCGATATGAAGGTAAATTAAGTTTTGTTTATTAGGGAGGCTTTCAGCCTGGGGCTAGTTCGCCTCCAAACTTCGGTAGTATGCTGAAAGGAGGATTACAATTAAATCTGAAAATAATGTAACAACTCAAGGCGGGAGTAGCCGTCAACAATGCTGATGATGGTACAGCACGCAACAACCACCCTACTGCTTTCTCTCTGAGATGATCACGTTGGTCATGACGAGAGGAGCACACAATAGTTGGGTAAAGAAGAACTGCATTATAACACACCATCGACTGGAAATGCTCTCGCAACGTGGGGCTTTAGGTAGTGATGAAAACGTCGCTAGAACTATTCCACAGCCGCAGTCAGTTTATGAGCAAAAAGAGAGGACTTGGAGACATACTTCAAGTCCCCGCCTACATCGTACGGGTTAGGCAAAAAATGTGCGTCTATCTTCAAAAAACTGTCGCATTAATGGCCCTTCGCTCATTTTCAACTTCTATTCAATTTTCACACTGCCGTACTCTAACGGAACTATCCACCTACCCTCTATTAAAGATCATTCTCTAGCTAATAAATCATCACACTAAAGCTTCATGTTAGCATTTCCAACCAACTCTGAAAATCGTTAACTTCGCGTATGAAGTAACATAAAAACACTTTGAATGCTAAAAATAATTCCAAGAAAATTTCAAACGAACTCGGAAAAGAATTCCAGAAGAATTCTGACTTGAATGTCAAATAATGTTAATGAGAAATCGATGGAATTTGATACTTCACTGCAAGCTTATTCCTAGGAAACTTTAAAAGTGAGTAGAATTCCAAGGGAAGGAGTAAAATTCAAAGGTCATTCTGAAATTATTCCGAAATTCTGAGGGAAATTCCGTGGAAAATGAATTCCAAGGATGATTCAAACGAAATTACAAGGAAAATTTCAAGGGACAACAATTGTAATCATGTTCCGGTGATAATTTTCAGAGAATTCTAAGGGAATTGTGGGGAGAATTTCAAATAGTTTATGCAACTTCTGAACAAAACTTGGCTAAAGTTCCAAAGGGATTTCTGGAGAATACATGAGAATACTGAGGACAACTCCAAGTGAATTTTCCGGGGATATCTCCTGGGAATTCCTATGTAATTCTGTATGAATTACATATAATTTGAAGAGCATTGTAGATAGAATTCAATGAGTGTTCTGCAGATGATTTTTAAGAGTATAATGCAGCAAATTATAATTAAATACCAGATAAAGGTCCAATATAAACTCTGAGGGTATTCATTATGATTCAAACAAATTCTGCAGAACATACTGAAAAAATCCTGTAAAGATTTCCAAGTGTAGCAGGATGATTTCATCATAGATTTTGTTTTTCGAGATATTCGGCAAAAGAACAAGATCCAGGATTTGGAAAAAAAAATATTAAATTAATAAATTTTGAGATTTTATGTTAAGAAAACTTTATGATCCTGGATTTAAAAAATCTTCAAGATTCAATGTAGTTTTATTTTAAAATATTCCGGATATGGAGAAGTTTCCAAGTTTCTGGATCGTTTAAATAGTCAGAACAAATACCTAAGTGTTTAAAATCTTAAAAACTTAGCTGTGTATGGGAGCTCGTCAAGATTTATTTAAGTCTGGACTAATGACCGGACACCCACAGGGTGTGACTGCCACATCCAGAACTGGTCAGAACCTTTGATATATTGAAAAATTAAATTTCAAGAGCTGGCAGTCCTACGGTGTGTTTTGTGTACATTGGCTTAGTAGTATAAATGAGCTACCGTCGACCGACGCTAATATGAACGGTTTTTCATGCATACTAACGGGACTCATTTTTAGTTTGCACTTCTAGTAACGCTATCAGGATCATAAATGTGTGTTTCTGGTAGCCTTATTTGTCGTTTTGTTTTGATACTGGGTTCCGTTTCGCTTTCCTCCATTCCATATGCTGAATGACGTTTGAGCATTTTTTTTTGTTTGCACGACGTGCAAATTAGCGGGGATCAAATAAAAAGTGTTTAGATAAAAACGGTCAAATTACCGGGGGTATGATACTAACAAACTCCATCCTTGAGCCATTTTTCGAATTCAAAAGAGTAAATAAGGCCAGATATTCCAGTGAATGGAGTATTTCGGTATTATTCTTGAAGTCTATACAAAACAAAATGTGTTGTTTATTCTATAAGTCTATAATTCTATAACTCGATGGTGCCTTTAATATCGAGTTATGTTGAGTTGACTGTACCATCTCTTCTTTTTCTTGTTCTTCTTCGCATTGATTATCGTTATTAGCTTATCGCGTACTCTCAACTAAGTGTGCACTTTCAAAGTTTAAGACCTAACAAGATCGAACATTGGAAGTAAATAAAATGACAATTTGCATATTTTTTGTGGGGTGACCCCAACTTATGATCGGGAGTGCATTTTAATTTAAATCATCGAATATTTTAGAACATCAAAAAATAGTAGACCGGTTTCAGCGAGAATTGCGCAATGTAGGGGAAATGGCTCTAATGTTGGCCTATGGATCTAAGATTGGGCCCATGGCTAAAAATCAGCTATTTATCAATTTTATCTAGATGAACGCGTGCATATTTTGATCGCTATTGAAAATTTAGTCGATTGCTGAATTTATGTATGGGCCCAAATTAGGGACATTCAGACTAACATTACATCCATTTCCCCTATATCGTATTTATTTTAATATTTTTCATAAATAAATAGCAAACTATTTCAATGAAATGTACAGATTTTAGATAAAAATTTAATCACAAACTGAGGTATGAGTATGACTTTAAATAAAGACTCTACACGGTAAGAAAAAAGTACCCAACGGAAAGTTCACTTTTACCTACTTTTGACTAGTTTGTCTCCTTTTCTCTTTCTAATGTTGTCAAAAACGGAGGAGCAAAACCACCCAACAGGGGTAGTAAAGTGTGGGAACCCAAGTTTGAGTATAATCATATTTACCTACTTTTGGGTACAACTAACTTACTTTTGGTTAAAAAGCCAGTGGAAAATTCCATACGAATTGCACACAAGTAAATGAAATTTACTTTGACCCGCTTTACCTACTTTTGGGTTCCTGCACTATAGTGCCGAGATGAGTGAAAAAAACTTAATTTTGGGTACTTTTTTCTAACCGTGTACGCGATTTTCATTTTATAGATTTCGTCCTCATGCGTGATGGTTAAGGCAATGATAATACCTCCAGATTATGTTTTTTTTATTTGAAACAAGTTGCATTCAATTTGATTGAACATTGAGACCACACGATCAAAAATAGAGGCGAAACAAATCTCACAAGAACAGAATTGAGTGTATATCCCAAAAGTTGGATAGTCTTCCAGTTCTCAATGGTTAAGTCACTGTGACACCATTATTCTGAAGTTAATTTCGAATATTCCTAACGCGTTTGAATAGACTTTCGGGCAGTAGCTTTGTATGTGTTTTAAATTACCTATCAATGCTGGATAATGACCAATTATCTCGTGAAGAGCACTGACTCCTAAGAAATCCTACACAGATATATTTTTGAAGTGACTAGCTAATGCCAGTGGAGTGATCCACTTGCTCAAACCTTCCAGTTTATTAACGAAACCACCTCACAGACAAGTGTTACCTGTTTGCGTAGCCGTCACTTGTTGCCACTTTCAATCGAGTCGTTTAACACTCCTATTCGTTCATTCTTCATTCATGTCCAGAAACATCCCACTTTTCCTAGTTTTGCACATTTACCTTTCGATCGAACGTCGTCGCTGGTAGCCTGCCAGACGTTCTGTGTGCCAAATTATGTATCAAACACTGTGTATCACTACTATGTCGTCCGGTAGCAGTCAGCAGTGGCATGAACATTAACGATTTCGCTTTGGGCTCTGGTCTAGTACATAAGCGAGCTCTCACTCTCGTTTGCAGGTCATCGGCGTAAGTGTAGCACTAAATTCCGTTAAAAAAAATAAACACACAATCAAGCACGCGCATGACGACGATGGAAAATGGATCGCGACATTATTTTTTTCGCTATCGATTTGAATTTCGCGTAAAAAAGCACGTCCGTTACTGAGCGCTAGCTATTGTTCACCGTGTATAGATGTTTCGGAAAGTTGAGTCCAGGTAACTTCAAAACAAGTGGTACATATCTCATTAACCGCTCACAAACACTCACCCCGCTAGAACCAAGTGATCAACAGCTGAGTTGCCCTCTTATTATTTTTTTCGCGAAATGAAAAACGACCAGTGAATAACAATAAAATTACTATTGCGAATTCTAATTGCTATGAATTTCGATAAAACCTGGTAGGTATACACAGAACCTGATCGCAGTCACCGGATCAGCTCACACACACGTACACTCCCTTTGGGGCGAGGGAGACAGCAACAGCTGGTCAAGCACGAACCGCGGATGCACGGCTCACGATCCACACAACACACTTCAGGTCAGTTCAATTTTTTCTAGAGAGGAAACCCGATCGAGTCAGCCCGAGCGCACTTCGAATACTGAGCTGGCGGACGTCGCCGCAGTGCCTTCTTTGTTCGATCGAGGGAGGCGGTGGTTCCATTCACACTAACCGGAGCCATACACTCGCGGGCTTCGATCACTGTGCGGCAATTCGCGGTCTGTGTTTGTGTCGCATATCTCTCTGCTAATGGTGATCGTTTCAACTGCGAGACTGCCTGCGATTCTGTTACCTGTTGCGACCGAAAGGTGTGTGCTCACATGTTGTGGCCGTTGTTGTTGTTGGGTGTATGTGGTCGATCGGATCGTTCGCCGCACCGCTGCAACTCGGTATTTGTCGCTACAGTCGGTGAGGTGTGCTCCGTTAGCGGCTGTTGTTGGTGGTGTGCTTCTCGTCAGCTGGTTTTACCTGTGCATTTTTTCTAGGGTGGATCTCGGATGCATGACTATTGTCATACGTTTACAGCACACCCACCGTTAACGTGGATGGAAATGGAAGATATATAGTTAAGGTGTCTCTGAAAATTTAGGCTATTTTGATATCTTCTATTACTAACTATGCCCAAGTAATAATTGTGGTTTTATAACACTCGTGTAGACCATCATTTAGACTCTAATGGCGGTAAGCTCCAATTGGTTTTATCCTTGGACTACATCCCGATCAACAATGTCCAGATGCGTTGATGTCGACATTATAGTTAACCAACACGACTCAAACAGGGTCGATATTAAAAGTTAATCCGAGTGGAGCTTACCGCCATAAGAATGCTAAAAAACCTTAATAAAACTACACACTCATTCTAGCTCGGTAAAACCTCCAACAGCCGATTACCTCGGCATTTACTGCAGAGATATCAGTAAACATCTAATTTGTTAGCTGAGTCTCGGCAATGGTTCTACTGAATCTCAGAAAAATAATTTGCAGAACTACTGGGCTGTCGTAATCTCGGCTAAAATATTTAAGTGTGTGGGAATGTTCTTTGGGTGGGGAGGTTTAATTTAACCTAGTAACACAATAGTTGGGTAAAGAAGAATTGCACTATAACACACCATCGACTGGAAATGCTTTCGGCAACGTGGGGCTTTAGGTAGTGATGAAACGTCGCTAGAACTATTCCACAAGCCGCCGGTAGAAATGAACAAATGCGGCTCATACTTCAAATCTCCGCATACATCGTACGGGTTAGGCAAAAGGTGTGCGTTTGACTTTGTACTGTCGCATTAATGGCCCTTCGCTCATTTTCATACTTATATTAAATTTTCATACTGCCGTACTCTAACGGAACTATCTACCTACCCTCTCCTGAAGACCATTCTCTAGATAATAAGTTATCACACTAAAGCTTCATTTTAGATAGCATTTCCAACCAACTCTGAAAATCGCAAACTTCGCGTATGAAGTAACATAAAAACACTTTGAATGTAACTATAGAACTTTGACAGCTGCGGTAGAACTCTACGGTAGCCTGACGGAAATTTTTCAAATGATCTGCAATAACATATCTCTATTTTTTTTCGTATCCTTTTAAATCGAAGAATTTATTTATTTCGTCAACCAACGTATACTAGTATATATTCGAATAGAGTTTTGTTTTCTTAAATTTATTTATTTATTTATTTCGTCAACTTTGGAAAAGAGGTTAAAAGTATAATTTTGTCTTTAATAAAAATTAAGCAATGTCAGATTTCCTATTTTTTTAATGAGTTATAATGCCTAATGGAGTAAAAATATTGTTTTAGTTTATGCCGAGACATTGTAAAGTCAATGGTTTCCCAGTTTTGATTGTAAGAGGCCATCATGCGGTTTAATGGCCCATAAACATGCGGTTTAATGGCAAATAAATTTCGATTGCGGAGTTGCCGAGTAGGTGCATGGAAATTTAATTTTGATAAAAGTTCTGTGGAGTCAATGCGCTGCGAAACGATATCGTTTACAAATGAAACCATTGCATATTCACGACGCTCTTTTAATGTTTGTATGTTTATAAGCATGCAGCGTGCTTCATATGATGGAAGAGGAAATGATGTCCAACCTAATTTACGAAGAGCGTTTAAAAGAAATTGTTTTTGTACGGATTCTAATCTTTCTTCGTGCGTGATTAAAAAAGGAGACCATACAATACTGCAATATTCCAGTATTGACCTCACATAGGCAACATATTGTGTTCTAATTGTGTATGGGTCCTGAAAGTTATAGCAAAAGCGCTTGATAAAGCCTAGCATGTTATGTGCCCTGTGAATAATTGTGCTGTAATGGTCTATGAAAGTTAGTTTAGAGTCTAAGATAATTCCTAAATCCCTAACTCTTTCACATTTTTCTACATTTTGATTTCCTAGTGCAATTGAAATATTTAAAGTTGTTCTTTTCCTGCTAAATGATATTAAGTTGCATTTTTTTACATTCAATTCTAGTAAACTTTTTTTGCACCATATGTAGAAATTCTAAAATTCTACAGTAGAATATGTGTATTTCATTCCGGAATATATTGATGTCTTCTTCATTTCTTATTTCCAAAAAGAGCTTTATCTCGTCGGCATAAATAAGAATGAAAGAAATGTTAAATGTCGTTTACGTATAAAATAAAAAGAAAAGGGTCCCAAATGAGAGCCTTGGGGGACGCCTGAAGTGACTTGAATTGGACTCGATTTCTTTCCGTTGAATTTAATTATTTGTTGGCGGTTAGTTAAATATGATTCAAGCCATTTTAGGAACCCTGACTCAATTCTGATTTTTTGCAATTTAAAAAGTAGCATTGGTATGTCTATGCGGTCAAATGCCTTGCTAAAGTCTGTACAGAGTCTGTTAAAGCTTTAACGTAGTTTCCATTATCCATTGCATTCAATGAATAGTCTATAAATTCAAGTAAATTTGTCGAGGTCGAGCGACCCTTGAAAAAGCCGTGTTGCATGTCAGTAATTCTATTTTTTGATTTGGAGAAATAATTTTTCGTTGACAATGCCTCGAAAAGTTTAGGAATGCAAGAGATAATGGCTATACCACGATAATTACGTACGTCAGATTTTCGGCCAGATTTAAAGATAGGCACTAGGAATGAGCTTTTCCAAATTTTTGGGAAGGTTCCAGATTCCAGGGACATATTAAAAAGCCAAAACAATGGAGCAGTGAGTTCCATTTCTAGACATTTAATAAATACTGGAGGAATTCCGTCAGGTCCAGGACCTTTTGAGCCATCTAAATTTTTTAAAGCCTGCAAAATATCCTGCACTTGAACTATACTATACCAATTTCGACATTTCCTACATTCCTTTAAATTAATTGCCAATTGACACTGTTTAATTTAAATTTTATTTTTAGGTAGTCTGCTAATTTGTATTCGAAGACTTCTTCGTATTCGCAGACGTTGGGTCTTTGGTTTTCATGCACAAATAAAGAATATTCAATTGCTGTGTGAAACGTTTCATTTTTCCACAGTGGATTTAATGATTCGGTCACACAGAAATCTTCATAAATATTCGTTAGTAAAAAGTTCAAATAGCAATTTTGTTGGTTTTTTATGTGGTTAATTTGGTTCAGTCAATTAGCAGTTTTGTCAAAAATGAACTGCAATGTTTCATTATCCCCAACTGGGAGTAAGATACATTCATTTTCAGAGTCCAGAATGAAGGCAGCATGGCGTTGATTAAAGTCTCCATAGATGGGAACTTTAACCTCAGGAGGAAGCTCAGATAGAATTTGTTCAGCACTTTGGAAGAAGGCTTCATAAGTCCTTTTATGAGCATGGTCTGGTGGAAAATACACTGAGGCGAATACGTGCGTTTCACCGGCTATGTGTGATTTCACCCAAATATGCTCAAATTCTGTAAATTTTGGTGTAAACATGAGTTTTGAGTTAAAATTGGCCAAAAGAGCATAAGGACTCCACCGCCTGGCGTATTCTGAGTTGCGTGAAAATTTCTGTCATTTCTGAATACATTAAAGGCATTTCCAAAGATTTATTCACTTTTCTCGCTTTCGTCCCAGCTTGTTTCAGTTGCCAGAATGACCGAGAGGGATGAGCATAATAAATTTTGATAGATTTCCTTCACTTTAGCTGGGCTTTTCATGCGATTGAAAATTTTACAGTAAATCAAAATTTCAGTCGCATTCTGTTGATGTGAAGAAATTGTTGGAAGTACGTCGGTTGATAAAATATTTTCATTATTATTATTATTATTATTTACCTCTTTCTCGCCGAAAGGAGTCATTGCTTTCGAAAATTCGGGTTGTGAAACGCTGCAGGTGTTGGATCCTCTGGTTGTTAAGATGACGCTGACAGGATTCAAAGTCGTCAGATGCCGCCTGTTTTGGTACACCATATTCTTCATGCACTTCTAAAACGATTTTCCGAAGTTCCTTCGCTGAAGTCGGTAGTCCTTCGGATGCCAAATTAATTTTGATGCTAATATTCGTCATTCCTTTATGGCAGAACGATGGATTGTCATGCATATATGCCAAATAAAGGCGAACGATGTACATTATTTTTGTGTCCCGTAGTCGTGCTGGCTTGAAAGTTGGTGTGTATTTGGCCCAGAGTAATTAACATTTGAAAAGGGCGTACTTTATAAACAAAATCGTAAATTTCGCGTGACCTTTAATAGATATCAATTTGCATTATTCGAAAAACAAGTGTTTTAAAAAGTCCTTAAAGTTTAGACAATATGATTTTTGCGGTGAATTTGAATTGAACGATAAGAGCTAAAAAATGACATTTTTCAGGCATATCCTAATTCAATTCTCAAGAAAAAAAAATTTAAAAAGAGAATGTCTTGTCTTTGTTTTCAAAAATTAAAAAGTTAGTTTTTGAAAATCAATCAACCAATCAATTTTCCATCATTCCGCATTGTACTATCTATTCGTACGGATTTATGTGCCTTTTTGCCGAAAGACTTGTTACTGATACAACAATTTTAAACAGCACTTTTCAATGCTAAATATTAATTGCATATTTTGTACCTTTTTCGATTCTTATTCCATTTCGATCCTTTTTTGAACTCCTTATTTGTTTAAAATTCAATCTAAGGCTGGT